TCTAATTATTCAGCAACAGCCTTGTGGAAGGAATTTTGCTTTGAGCTCACATACATTTTAATAAACACGCCCATGAGAGGTCCCATTCCATGCTTTTAGAACATTTTTAGGTTACAGTAAAGATATGGTGGAAATGTATTGCTACGTTTCTCTTTAAGTAGCCTCTGAGATTTCCTACATCTTTCAGGCTTGTATACTGGATTTAAAACACGTTAAAACCCTTTTTAAATTCAAGTTTACTAATAGTTGACTAATTCACCACTGAACTCGCTGTGCTTAGTTGCAGAGCTTTATATTTATACAGGGAGTACCAGTTACTGTCGAAATTCGACCGTTTTTTTAGCTTTTTAAGAACCTTGGAGAGATTTCCTATCTTTCGTCTCCTCCTGCTTTAGCACTAAAATATGCTTAAAATTTTCTTATATCTTTGGAGAGCTTTGGCAGGACTTGGAACTGACCCGATACAGTTTGTCTATAAATTTCGGTAATTTGATACATATCGATAATGCGATACATTACAACGCATTAAAATCCCAAAACTCAGCGAAATTCGACAACTCGGTTGGGATATGGGGGGATAGATCCCCCCTTCGTCATTGAACTACAATTATTTACTTTTGAATTAATAACACAATACTATTTGCTTGCAGTTTTCTAAGTTCATATGAAGAGGAGACATTTGAAAGTGTATAAATAAGTATTATAGCGACTTTTGCAAGAGTAGTTAACATTTCATGCTATTTTTTTCAGAATATAGAAAAATTTTCACTCTGCTGTTAGTGGACATGAAACCCATCAAAAACTAAAAATCTAAAAAAAATTTACATAGCGCACTTTGCAAGTGGACTACTCAATTGTTGAATATGCTATCTTATTTGTCCCTTCTTTTTATATAATTAAGGAGCGGCTGAATGGTTTAACGATGTTAGCGGTACATAATGATGTGCCGATTACAACACAAGAAGTAATTGAAAAAATGTGTGTTAAGCAACGAAGATTAAAAATCGCTTTATAAGTAACAAGATTTTGTAGACTTGTACATAAATAAATGTAAATAGATACGCGTAAATATATAAATATGCAGATATATTCAATGTGTAAAAACTGAAGTGTATACTAACGAAACTTCTACAAAACAAAACTGGACTACACACTAATTAATTAAAATGGTGTAGTAATTTAATTTTTTAAATTTAAATAAAGCATGAATTCCCCAGGGAATAACCGAGTAGACAAAAAATATATAACGGTAGAAATGGCACATACATACATATATGAAAGAATGCCCACAGGCGACGCAGTATAGGCAAAACACGAGTTTTTTTCAAAATCGTAGATCTTCGCTTAGAAAAGAGATAATGGATGCTGCACTTTCGTAAAGATATCGACCAGTATAACCATTTTTGGTATATAAATTTTTTTGTGAAAGCTGATAGTTTACGAGTTATTAGAGTTTAAAGGTAGCTTTTCTTTTTCCAATGTGGCCACTCGGGTACAGCATCCAATGTCCCAAGAATCGAGACTTAAGATAAAATAAAGAGAAATCTTTCAGAAACAGTGCTAATGGTGTATTAAATGTAGTGTTTTCTAGTGGAATGGGAGTCAAAATCCAAAATTAAAAAAGTGACAATTTGAATGATATTTTGAGGGTTAAGTTATTGTTGTTGTAACTTCTCTATAGTTTTCCTATATTATATGACCATTTCTCTTCCCTCCATTATCTCTTTCCTAAGCGAAGATCCACGATTTTGAAAAAAAAACTCGTGTTTTGCCTATAGTGCGACGCCTCTAGCCATTGTGTATCACAACTTTAAGTTATCGATGCAAATTTTTCAATTCCGCCCACCCCCCTTCGCCAAATCCTGGCTATGCCACTGCATACACACATCTGCTTTTGCTTAAGGTTAAATTTTTTCGCTTTTTTTTCTATCAATGTAGATCCCTACGTCTACCACTGTTCGTTTTAATAACATTCACGTTATTCTGTTTTTCCATTATCTTCATTTTTATATACTCTATCGATAACAAAATCGATTATAACGTCCGTCAAAATACCGATACCAAAATCGATGACAAATTCGATAAAAATTTCAATAGCAACATCGATAATACCATTGGTAGCTAAATCGATTAAAAAAGCGATAAAAATATCGATAACAAAATCGGTAAATATCGATAACAAAATCGATAAATATCGATAAAAAATTCGATAAATATCGATAACAAAATTGATAAATACCGATAACAAAATCGATAAATATCGATAACAGAATCGATAAATATCGATAACAAAATCGATAAATATCGATAACAAAATCGGATAAACATCGATATTAAAATTGATAACAAAATTGATAAATATCGATAACAAAATCGATAAGTATCGATAAATATCGATAACACAATCGATAAATATTGCTAACAAAGTCGATAAATATCGATAACAAAATCGACAAATATCTCTAACAAAGTCGATAAATATCGATAACAAAATCGTTAAT